TCTAAAAAAATTTTTTAAAACTTTTTTAAAAGAAAATTAAAAAAAAAGGTGAACCAAAAGCCTTTGAAAAAAAAAAAAAAAAAAAAAAAAAAAACGACATATGTTCCAATTGATCCTTGTTAATGAGAAAGAGGAAAGACATGCAGCAAAGGTCATCAGGCCGGGACTCGAACCTGCGACGGCCACGTCAGGGACTAAGGCCTCCATACGTGGGTTGTGCTCTACCCCTGTACCACCACAGGACACTGGTTTATTTACTTTTAAGTACGTGAGATTTCCTTAATGTTAAAATAGTTTCCTTCTGTGTATTGTTTTCAGCATAATAACTCACTCTGAAGCCATACCTTTACTCCTATTTTTGTTACATGTCATGCAATACATCTTTTACATATATAAAACATTATAAGATGTTCAAAACTGTGTAAGAAGTCTATAAGGGATGGGTCAATCAGACTATGATCTAACCAACCCTAGTCAGGTCATTGCAAAACACCAAACCCAAGGTAAAAAAAAAAGTCAATCTAGGATTCGCTTTTGAGATACAATTAGAATTTTGTTAAGGTGGATGACGATGTTGTTTTCTCTGATATATTTGTTTGTTTTTAAGTTGAATTGTACAGGATTGCAAGATATGTGTCCAATTAATGATGGGCACAGTTTCAAAATGATTTATGATGGACTTTTTTTTTTTTTTTTCCATCACAAGCAGGGATTTAAAACCACTGCGGTTTATTGCATGTGTGGTATGGGATCCTGTAAGGGTGATGTTGCTATTGAGTGTAGCTGATATGTGTCTGTGTAAGAAACACCACACTGTATATATAATACATGAGACAAATGTATACAACATATCTTTAAACATAGTGGAATACTTGGAGTACATGTTACGGAATCAGTTTCACCTCACTTTTACTTTGAAACTTTGATCTTTGGTTTTTACAGGAGATGAAACAGTTATAACACCATTCTCAGTCAGGTGCACTCATTTGGGAAATAGTGAGTGAGCTCTTGGATGTGACAAAGGGACAGGTTGATGGTTATCAGCACTCAGGAGCTATCAATCTATGCTCTGTGTTTTAAGGACTGCCAGGAGAAATGATAAAGATAACTCACCACCAAAACCTGAAGGACAGATACACTCATAGTCTGCAACCAAGTCAATACACGTGGAATTATTGGCACAGTATCCGTGGACACATTCATCATGGTTGATTTCACAGTTGAAACCCCCAAAGCCTGAGAAAAAGAAAAATAGCGTCGGAGTTGGAGCGTGAATGTCAGTAAACACCAGACTTGAAAAGATACTAATTGGTATCAAAAGTGATGAAATCTGACATGACTTGTCAATGAAAGCTCATCACACGTTTGCAAATACATACTGATGAGTGGAAAGAAAAAAAGAAATGCAATTTCTCCCCACTTTCTGCCTTAGTTTTTTTTGTTTTGTTTTTTTTTTCTTTCTAATGAATTTTAATTTGCACCTTGGGTGTCTTTTTTTTTCCACAATAAAAGGTTAAAGCAATGAAGTAAAAGCGAGGGCTGAAATTTGTGTCGTTTTTGCCATTCTGTCTCTCATAAACATATTCCACTGCATGGTCACGCTACAAAATGACTATCATTAGCACTGTCACACACCGGAGTTACAGGAGAGCCATGACTAATGCTTAGCTATCAGCACCATCGGTGCAGGTCAAATCCTCATCATTTCTCAAACTGACCATGGAACCAATTTCCATCTCCCTCCAAGTCATAAAATTTGACAATTATTCTGACTTCATTAAAAATGCATAACAGACTTCACCTGCAATCAAGGTTTAGTCAGAGATATGTTTCACTGGCAAGGTGTCGACTCGACAAAGAAATTATTAGAAAACTACCTGGGATTTATTTCTCGTTAAAACTAAACAGTACTACATCAAATAACATGCAAGTGAAATTTCTCTTAGGGGATCTGATTATTTTGAATAATAGAACATTAAGAGTTTTTGGAGACTTCTTTAAGCATCTTGCAGCCTGGTTTCAGTTTGGACTTGCTTGGTGCAAGTTTGGACCTGTTGGGACTGGTATGGAAAATCGTTCAGTTGTAAACTACTGTCTGTGCAGTGAAATGAATGTTTTTTGTATTCCTCCTCAAGATTTATATACATTAAAAATCTTTTCAATTCAATTCTCATTAAATCTCACTATGACATTCACTTTAACAATCTAGAGAAAGCCAAAGCAAATGATTACCGTATCGCCAATGCAAGTCTCTTTTAAAATGCTGAATATCAAAGTTTGCATCATGTGTTTTTGATGTGAAATGCCCACGTGGAATTTTAGCATTTCTATATGGAAGTTATGGTGGAGGTAGCCTAATTTATTCTACAGAAGCTTCAAAGGTATTCTCTTTAGTTTCAATTATATAAACTTCTGTGTATCATTACACTTTATATTAAACATGTTCAAATATCGTACTAAGCAACACACAGTCTGCTGTAAAAGATTCTATTTTTTATTTTTTTATTTTTTTTGTAAATTTCCTGAAACTTACCTTCCAAGCACAAACACTGATACTGGTCAAGGTCATCCACACAAATTCCTCCATTCTGACACGGTTTTGATTCACATTCGTCGAGATTTACTTCACAAAATGCACCTCCATACCCTGCAGTACACATTAAAGAAGAGGGGAGAATTTCTTTATTTCTGATCTTTTCGCCTGGTTTCATTCCTCAGCCAATTAGGATCAGCATGACTTTGTTTTCACAAACAAAAGCTGGCTTTCAGTGCTTGTATTGATTCAAAGAGCTTGCTGAGAACAGGCAGACTCAGCTCACTGGATCATTTAATCATGTTTAATAAGAGCCCATCATTGCCCTCCTGATTTATTACATAAAACAGGCCCAATGCCTTCTTCAAAATCAAAGTCAATCTATACACAGACAGTACTACATCAAATAGCATGCATCAGCACACACGTAGGCACACGCACACAAACATTTGTACACACACACACACACACACACACACACACACACACACACACACACACACACACACACACAAAAGGAAAGACACATTCCTGTGTTTAAGTCATTTTACTGCAAGCAGAAAACAACCTGCATGTGGGTTGACCTTAAATTAACCCACAGAAGCATTTGCATGTACAGTGGGTACAATACGAATGTTTCGCATAGTCAGCCAAGGTAAAACAGAATATGAGCTGCTCGAGATGCTTTGCACAATTAGATATGTGATAGGGAAAAAAATGTATAAAAGGCACATTCGCAGCATCTGCTTGGCTGCAGAATAAGCAGTTTCCTGCAAAAATAACAGTGACAAAATACAGAAACAGAAGCCAAACAAAAACAACTGCTGCACAGCAGAAACCTGCATGATGGCAAAAAAAAACAACAAAAAAAACCAAAAAAAACCTTATCTTATGCCAGAAAGAGCGTTTGATGAAACAAATAATGGAGCTCAAGTAATTTTATGGCACAAAAAACATCTTACACTGCAAAGCTGCTCCTTACAAACCATGCACAAGGAAACAATGCCTCAGTCAAAAAAGTCTTAATTCAAAACTGACTTAAAATGTGGAAATTAATCTCTATGAGTGGTATAGCAGCTAAACATCCAGATTTTCCCCAGCAACCAAATCCAAATGATCCTCACTTCTTCTTTAATGATGAATATCTCATTTAAATATAAGCTAGGATTAAATATTGTTTATGGTTTAGATAATGGGTGAAAAATTACAACTCTGAAAATGTAGTGATATGTATGTAAAATATAGTCATTCCTCTAAACCCTTGTCACATTACAAACACAAACTCCATGTTTTTTTATTTAGATTTGACAGACCAAAATAAACCAATGCATAACTAAAAAGTAGAATGAAAGTATATGATTTCAATTATTGTTAACAATACAAATGTGAGAAGAATAAATGAGTAATCAAAACCCAAGTCAATAATTCAGAAGTCACATTTGACTGGAATTGCAGCTGCATTTCTTTCAGAGACATTTTTGCATCTTCTAAGGAAAGTGGTACAAGTTGAGTCAGATTGGAAAAAAATAGTCTGTATCAAACTGTGCTACAATTGAAGTCTCAATTGAATTTAGTTCTGGGATTTTACTGGACCACTCTAACACCTAAATATGTTTTGCTCTCAACTCTTAAAGGGTCAATATTTAAGGCTGTTGCCCTGACGTAAGGTGAATATCTGTTGCAATCTCAAGTCTTTTGAAGAATTGAAGAGGTTTTCCTTCAGGATTGGCCTGAAAAGTGGTCCATCCATTTTTACATTAACTTTACCTACTTTTCTCTTTATCTTCTGAATAAAAGTATTCCCAAAGCATGATGCTGCCATCACCAATGTTTCATGGTGAGTATCGTGTCACCTGCGAAATGCATGTATTGTACTTAATGAAAAAAATTTAAAAATCTTATCTTTTGTTCCTTCCACTTTACCATTATGCATTCTACCAGGTCTAAATATTTTTTATAAAGTATATAGAATAAAAATGAAACTTAGGACCAGCTAGCTGCAATTTAGACAGACGAGGATTAAAGTTGATAATCTGGATGCCAAGGCTGCTGACAAGAGACATCTAAACAAGACAGCAATTGAAAGTTTACCCTTGAGAAGTGATCTGGGAAATGCAGCATAGTGGAGGTTGCTTTCATTTACATAAGAAATCACTCACAATCCTTCATTCTGACATATGCCAAGCATAAATGCAACAGGAGTAATGATGTTACAGTTATTGATTGCATTACATGAACTTCTATGCAATAGCCATCCGTTTGAGAAGAGAGGCTCTAGCTGTTCCAGAGTGAATTATGCTTGGCGAGGTAGGAAAAATGTTTTTAGTTCCAGCAGGCTGACAGCATCCAGAAATGAGCGGCATGATTCCCGGTGCATGTTGACGTAGTTCAACGTGAAGGGCTCCTTTTATTATGAAGCCTAGACTCTCTGCAAAGCTTCATTCAAGTCTAACCCACTCACTTCTGAGTAATTTCTTTCGGCAACTGATGAGACTCATCCTCTCTGAAAGAAATTAAAACCCTCCTGACCGAATGTAACTGCACATACAGAGAATTATAATGTTTTGTGAATCAGCAAAGAGTTTTTTGTTTGTTTTTATTTCTACAAAGAGTGAATTATAGAATCTTGTCAAAAGAATGAAAAGCTGTTCCCAAATTAATACTCTCTGAAGCTACCGCTTGTCCTTTAGATCACCTTATCTTTTCAGTACAGTCAAGTCATCTTTGTCAAGCCTTCAGAGATCAGAAATACACACACTCAACACACGACTCTACAACACACTCTCCCTCTCACTATTCACCCCTGTTAAAGGTCTCACTCACCTTTTTCACATGTGCAAGAGACATTCTGCCCATCCCGGCTCTCGGTGCATATTAATGTGTGTTCGCTGCATAGTCCAAATGAGCAAAGGTCAATATCCACAGAGCAATCTTTTCCTTTAAACCCTGGAAACATAGATATAGATAATTCATGTTAAGACGTCAGAATCAAGCCCAGGTAAAGAGAATTAATAAACATAAAAAAACATATAAACCAGCAGCTCATCTTCATAGTTGTATGGCTTTATATATTCTCAGCAGATTAATAGTATCGATTCCTTCCTTTTACAATCCACCTGCTATGCAGTATGGTAATTGAGTAAAATCATTGACAACAGCTCACCATATCAGACTGATCTACATCAAATTTATCTAGCATACAGGCTGCACGTCTGTATGTCACCAACTGATCCCAACGTCAATATCTAGAGTTATAAATAAAGCACAGAGACAGAATGATTGATCATTAATCTAACTTAAATAGACTACTTTGGCTTGTTTTACGTATTTGAATCTAAAATCGCAGTATAGAATCTTTACACAGACAGTACTACATCAATGTATATTGTGTTTTTATTCAAGCGAGTAAATTACCTGCAATTTTAAATAGTGACAAACCCAAATAATTTTGTTTTGGGATAAATTATACATTGGGTTCTATTATTATTGAATTGAATTTTAGCATGTAGTTTGTTCATGTTTTTGTTTTAGTTTTAAAATATCAAATTGTTTTAATTGTAGCTTTAAAGACAAATCAACATTGGATAAAATTGATATGAGCAGTTTCCAAAAGCAAAGATCCTAATTCAGACAAAATAAATAAATAAAAATCTGATTGATGAGCTCTAACTAAAATGAATGATTCTAACAGCTAAAGTCAACATAAATCTATACAAATCAGATGGAAGAAAACCTCATGAAGTACGTATGTGTAATGTTGGGTTCCCTAGCTGTCAAGAGACTTCATATGACTTCTTACATCCAGGACTTGAACAGCTCTAGTGTCAAGAAAAGGAAAAGGGCAGCTAACATCTCTGCAGACCCCACACATCTTGGACACACACTGTTTAGACCTTTACCTTCTCGGGGTGGTGCTACAGAGTGCAATTTGCAAAAATCAGCTGTCACTGTCTCGCTGATAAACACAATGAACACTTTACAGACAGAATAGTCAGCTACTCTGCTGTGAAACAAAATAAGAATATTTGCAATGCCACAACAATCTTTTTTTATTATTTCTTTATGTATAAAAGTGGCTGGAAATATGTACAATACATATTGTTCCCTTATTCTCAGTTTACTTCCTCTAAAGTTTGTGCATTATTACTTTTGCTTGCATGCTGTGAGTGCTTGAAAACTGGAGTCCATTTAGAAAGAAAACTGTTGCAATAAGTTATGGGTACATTTACCTTTAAGTTAGCTTAGTATTCACATTGGAACCCAAGTCCAGATGAGCTTACTATACATCATCACATCTATCTAGATGTTTGATGACCTTCCAGTTACCCTTTTCCCATTAGATTATGTGTTGCCTTGACTAGTTAATGGACAGCTATTGCCTCCAACAGGGTGTTTCAGAAGTGTTTAATAACCAATTGTGCATGCAATTCACTTTGAGGTTAATGTTGCATGAAGGAATGTCACTTTTACAGTGTCACCATCTCCAAATGGGACCTCCCTTCTCTATCAGACAGCTGCTAGTGGTTTAGTGCAACAGAGAAGGAGGTTCGAAATAAGAATTGCCCTTTTGACTTTTTCAGCAAATTCAGATTGCTGCCAGCTATTAAGTTTGATTCATTTAAATGGTTTAAAGGCCTGGTGTTATTTTGAAAGCTGGATTCAGGTCAGACTACTGATACTGCCAGACAAGCTTGTTTTTGAGACCATATCCTGCTAAAATATACTCATTGTTGATCATTTTACTTCTTACCTAAAGCATATTACCAAATTTGGCTGATACAACTACATACCGCCTTGTTAGCTAACTTGTTAAAGTAGCTAACTGTGTTAACTAAAATAATTAGTTCACACAAACAGAAAAAAACATGCTGCAGTGAGTCATTGCATTTAGCCATCTAGACAATCTGCTGAAATTCAAAGCAAGCGATAGACAGGGGAAGAAATGGAGTTTAACTAACTTTGAACATGGAAGGTGCTTAGTGTCACCTGGGCTGGTGTTAAGTTTTAAAAAATATCCTGATCCTTTTTCAAGTTTACAGGGAATGGTCTAACAGAGAGAGAGAAAAAAAATCTACAGTTTTAAGAACAACAGCACCTCATTGATGTGAGATGCCAGAAGAAAATGGTCAGAATGATTCCAAATTATAGTAAGAAAACAGCAGCTTCAATTAACCACCATTTACAACCACGGTATGTAGAATATCATCTCTGAATGTGCAAGATCTTTATTATATGACTTGTGCTTTTGTCAAAAATAATGTCCATCAACTACTAACAAACAAGTCTCCCAATTAATACACTGGTGGAAGAAGAATTTACATTTTTGACACTAAAGTACATATTAAGAAATTGAGATGGACAATCCTTGTTGAACTCATGTGGAAAATGTGTTGGTGTCTGATAAAGTTGCAAAGGAAATGATTAAAAGAGAAAAAAAAATAATTAGTGAAAAAAAAAGATGAAAATACATAAATAGCTAAAAAACGAAAAAAAAATTGTTGTTTTTTTTTGTCCGTCTCCCTCTGTGTATGTTTTGCAGGGAGAAGCGTGTAAACCTGGCAGAGCATTTATCTAATTGGATTTCTGAAAAGGACAAAGGAGATCAAAAACACCTGTTTATAAATCTGTCACTGAAATTAAAACAGTAATGGGAGCTTTGCTCACACATCGGTGTTCTGTTTCTGCCAAAATCTAATTTAAACAAGAGGCAGAAAATACTGAAAGTAGATTATTTACTGGGGACCTGAGATGCATTTTACGTTTTCTAAAAACTAAAAAAGAAAGAAAAAAAAATCTGCGTAGCAGGAGCTGCATACTGTAAGAACATTATTTATCGATAATCAAAAAAAGACAGAAAAAAAACTAAATATAAACTTAGTCTAGTTAATAATACAATATACAAAAATAAATAAATAAATAAATAACAGATAAAATAAAATAAAAAATCTTTAAAATCTTGAAACTATCACATCCCAGAATAAACAGGGGTTCTCAGATCATTGTTTCTGAATTCTGTGTGTGGCTGTTTGCAACTTACTGTGACATCACATATACAGCAGGAAATGGATGGGCCATTGCAGCATGACATGTTCAATTCAGTAGGCATCAAATATATTATTACGATAAGTTAAAATAAAACCAGATGCACACAAAGAAAAGAAACACCTCCCTTTGTCATAGCCCATATATATAGACCCTGTCTGGAGTCGGTGTTTTAAACAAACGGTAAACACAGACATTGATTTTCACCTTTATTCTAAAAGAGTTTTTCTTTCTATCTGCAATCTGTAATAAAGATTTATTGCTTCTATTTTCCTTACTTGGAGCTCTACTAAAAGCTTGCATTCAAACTGAAAAGACCAGACTAAACGATCCATTGTTTCTTTGCTATATTTGGAAGTGCATTCTTGACAAAACGCGAAACACTATCAAAGAAAACAAACAATTTGTAACAGGAATAAACCTTTCATGTATTCCCGAGGTACAGTCACTGATAATTAATAGCGGAGTATTTTTGTAAACATCCTCAATAATGCACAAGTGTGTGCTACTTACCAAGAGGACAGTGACAAATGTAGTCATTTATCAGATCCACACATGAGCCTCCATTTAGACAAGGCTGCGACCAACAATCATTTACATTCTGAGAGCACGTCCTTCCTACAGAATAAAGGCAGATAAATTAATAAGCTCTAGTTGATGATCAAGGAAACACAGCTAAAAGGTGTTGCAGAGGAACTTATTTCCCTGTTGCTGCTTTGAAAATTAAATGATAGTTGTTCTGTTTCCATAACCACAAAATTCAGAAAACCTGCAAGAAAAAACAATTCTCATTTCACCCACAGAATGAAATGAACTTGAACAGCTGATCAACTCTGATTGCACTGAACTGAAATCTAGTTAAATGATTATGTATTCATTATGCTGAAGCGTATGCATGTATGTATGCATAAGTGGTGGAACCTCAGTTTTAGCATCCTCGAGGCAAACGTTTGATATGGAATAGATGAATGATTTCACTAACAAAATTTAAAGCTCCACCAGCTTTGGCCTCTAGCAGTATTTCAGAACTCTTGGTTCTCTTTCAGCCATGGGGCGTCGCTTTTCTGTCTGCAATCTTAACTGGAGCAAAGGTGGCATTTTTGCCAATATGACCCTTTATATTGGATAAAAATACATGGAACTAACCTAGGGCCTACTATTAGCCACATTCAATGGAAATCCTGATAAACATGCGCACAGAGTATTAAAACACATTAAATGTTATTGCAGCTGCATAATCTCACATTTAAAAAAAATCTGAAAAATCCAAGTATGCAGGGTCATAGTGGCAAAAATGCCAATACCCTTGGGTGAATTTATTCAAAAGTTCAATGTTAAGAAGTACATTTTCCCTAGTTAACAAAAGCATTTTTTCTGACATGCATTTTTTAAAATGTTGATCAGCCAATATGCAAAGTAATTAAGACAGTAATGGAGTCAATATAAATCTGCAAAGCTCTGCAGCAATGAGTGGCCCCTAGGGTAGTCATGCAACCAAATCTCCATAACAATCATTAGACTGTATTTACATGCCAACTGGTTATTTGGAAGAGTCTCATCTGTGTAGCTTTTCTAAATGTAAACATGTGGGTTTTACTACAGCTGGACTTTAACAGAAACTATCGGCTTTCAGATGAGAACAAAGCCTTATTTATATCTCCCAGTCAGATCTGCTGTCCGCTCAACCACAAAGCCTGTGTGACGTAAATTTCACCAACTGTGTCGACGCTCTAGGGTCCGCTAGGGGTCTCTGTGGACATGCTGCCCAGATTTTTGTGCAAATGTTGGCACTGCGCCCCGGCAGGGACATTAGTAGTTCCAGTCCGAACACACAGCAGATAAAGAAAGCGACAGGTCAGATCATGAGGAGAAGTAGGATAAACAAAAGCAAAGCTTGTTTTAAAGAAACAGAATGAGGGGGGGGAGAGCTGCATTTTTCTCATTGTGGGTTTATTTCTAGGACAACTGGAATACAAAAACTGGTGAGAAATCAATTTCTTCTTTCTTTTTGTTTTTTTCCCCTCCTCTTCATCTCTGAGACGAATCAGAATAAAGCATCGCATTATCGCCCCACAAGATGCCACCAAGATCCAAGAGATTAACATACCAAAAAGGGATAAATCTGTCAAGCCCTTTGGACTGTTTGGCAATAAAGCCATTTGGCAAGAAACATTCCTCTTGGGATTAATATCACAAAATATGATATATGGAAAACTACTTCATGTGTACTGTTAATTATATTGGCTCTGTTTCTCTTCCAATATCACTGGGAACCATGGTATTATAACCTCTCTGAAAATAAATAAATAAATAAAAAAAGATTTTGAATAAAGCATGTAGTGCATTCTCCCAGTAAGCTGATCATGGGTCACCTTTGGGTCTTTCAGTAAGCTAATTATCCAAAATATATGCAAAAACAACAGAAAGGGTTCAGCAGACACAACATTTGCCATCTTCCATTGCAATTTCAGTCCCCAAGCTTAGATTCCAATGAACAAGCTTGAAGAAAACTAAAGTGAAGGCCAATGACTCAGGATGATCTATAGGAGAATCGATGATGAATTATTAAAGATCTACGTATTCTTCAACTTTTGGAAATGCTATTGAATGGGAATAAGTGCTGTCCTTTTAGCAAATGGGCCTTCTTTTATTCCTCCTTTGTCAGGAGGGACAAATGCAATTAATTATTAAAGACTTTTACATCACAAAATAAATGTATTCATATTAAAAAGAAATATTATGGGAATACAAAAAAATAATAATAAAAAAAAAGAGTCAGTAAACAATAGGAAACTAGGATTATTAAAGAAGAAATTGTAAGGTCAGGTCAAATACCAAAATTCCCAAATTTAATTAGTTAAATTCTTTACTTATTACTTGTATATATGGGATTGCATTTAGAAATACATTTAGCATATTTTACACTGGTGAATTTCGCCAAATACTTAACATTTGTTTTAAAAGTTTAGTTTTTAACAACGAAGGCTACACTACAAAGCCCGACCCTTCAGCTAGCAGCTGTATTAATAGCTGCAAAATGGGCTCAGATTCATATCAGATGGTCTCATACCCTCAAACCCCGGGGGACAGTGGCACCGATAATCACTGATTAGGTCCACACAGGTGGCGCCGTTAGAGCAGGGGAAACTGTTGCACTCATTTGCTTCCACATCACACAGCGGCCCCTCATATCCCAGCATGCATCGGCAGGTGAAGTTATACCGCTGGTCCAGGCAAACACCATGTTCAGAGCAGCGACTGTCGACACAGTAATCAATGTCCTGCTCACAGTAGACCCCTGTGTATCCACTGGGACAAAGGCAGCTGGAAACAGATTAAAGAGAATTTCTTAATAGCAGAGTGAGTTAGAAGATTTCTCTCAACCCTAAAGGGAGCGCAGTAAATGTCACAGCTTTTAAAATCATTGACATTCTGGTGCCAGAATGGCCCGGAGACAATCAAGACTCGGAAACCTACCTGTAACCATCAATCTCGTCCACACAAGTGGCTCCATTTTGACACCAGTGTTGGACACAATCGTTGACATTTATGCGGCAGTTCTGACCAGACCAACCATGTGCACAGATGCACATGTAGCTGCTGGCATTATTCAGCACACAGCGGCCTCCATGGGCACACGGCTGTTGATAAAAGATGAATTAGTCAAGCACATGTGTCATTAAATCATAGATGGAAATGAAAGCTTTCTTCTTTTTTTTTTTTTTACATTAATGTCACAGATTGAACTGAGCTCATTCTGGTCAGAATCATAGCTATTTTTCACAAAGAAAAACCTAATCATTTCTTGCTCCTGGCTCAGTGAAAATGAGCTTCATTACAGCCACATGACACACTCATGAATACTGATTCCCGCTTTATATAGGGCTTCACTCTGTATTCCAGGTGGCATCTACATCATGTCCTACAAGACAAGATCAATGGTCATTGAGAGCTAAAGCTCCTGAGAGCTCCTTGTAACAAAGCAGACTTGAGGTTAGGAGCTGCATTTATGGACAGGGGAAACAAAGGGGCAAAGGAAGAAGTGCCTTATGGGACACGGTTTTAATACAGTCATCATGGCCTATAATGTACAAGAGCCAAGGCAAGCCTTGCTCCACAGCAGGTGACCATCCCCATCTGTCATTTGGAGTAGTTCATCTGCTCAAGTGAGACTTTTTATTGATGCAAATGATCAGTTCAGTTACTAACACACGACAAAGCATCACATGCAAAAATGCAGATACTGTCAATATTATACGGCACTCATTCAAATAAAGTAATAGAGAGTAGTCCTGTACAGCTCCATCCATTATACAAAGAAAATGTAAACATCCTGGCAATTACACAAGTCAAGCTTTGACTTTTTTAAAGATTGTCTAAAAAAAATTACCATCATTTCGATCTTAAAATAAAATTTCAAGAAATTTTAAGATAAAAAAAAAACTATCAAAGTTACATGTGTTTTAAGACTCAGTTTTAGTCAGTGGAATATAAAGACATTTCCTAATTATTTAGTTATGAAATGAAATGTTTATCCTTTGTCAAAAGACTCAATGAATAATTACAGTAGCAGTTAACTGCAGAATGTGTTGATATTCCTAAGACATTTAGATAATAACAGATTTTAATATTTTTTTGTACAGAAATTTCATGGTGTCTCATTGTTTTTTAAAAAAAAAAAGTATATTAAATCTGTATGATTGGAATCGTACACATAAATGTACAAAATGTGACGTAAAGTATATTTAAAAAAAAAAAGTTCTGATTTTACTTTCTTCAGTTGATCAGAATCACGTACATATATTTGTGGACTAATGTAAAATGTAATAATAAAAATTATTGGAAAATCATAAGAAATCAGGCAGTAAAATTGTGGCCCTCCACAAGCCTGTTTCATTGCTGGAACAGGCAAGGATCCAGAGATCCTTGCAGGTGGAAGGTTCATCTGTTCTTATAAATATTAGATACAAGTATAAACAGAATATAAATGTCCAGCCATAGATCTAATTTAGAAAAAGAGATATGTGCTGTGTCCCAAAGATGACAAGTCTTGGTCCAAAATATTGAGACTAGTTCAACTCCCAAACAGAAGAAGAAAAAAAAAAAAGAAAAGATACGCACTGACGCTAGTAATAATGGTATTGAAAGTGAAAGAAAGGCCTGTATCAACATGGGCTGAAACGCCACTGAGCAGACATTACTCCAAAAGAAACATTAAAAAACAGATTACAGTTTGCAAATGCCCTAATGGAAAAACTTTAATATTTAGTGACATGTCCTGTGGTTTGCTAAAACCAAAACAGAAGTGACCATAATGAACATTGTTGGAGAAAAGAGGGATAGCACCATCCCAGCTGTAAAACACATGAAGGACTGAAATTCACAAAAGAGACGGCATCATGTGGAGATAACATTATGTGAAGATATCGAAATAACATCTTGAGCCTTCAGCCAGGAAGGCACAGCTTTGTCAAAAAATATATTTTAAACACATATTGGGTAGAAGCAAGAAGTTTGCTTTAGGAGTTAAAGATTCATAATTAGGGTTTGATGTCCATCAAAAAGCCGTGATCACAATCCTAAAGATAATTTGTGCCTATAGCTGAAGAGGCACATAATGAGCATACTGGCCTACAAACCTGACTGCTACAGCAGCTCTGTCAAAGAGAATGGGGCAAAATTCCAGCAAACTATTGCACACAAGTGAATATAGATTATCTTGCTCATGATTGCTTTTAGTAAATAGAAATAATTTTGGTAAGCCAGACTGACAAAAAACTGTACCTACCTGAAGATTTGTAGGGCAGGGTATACGGCAGGTGTATTCAAGGCCATAAGGGAGGTCCAAACACTGAGTTCTTGATTGACACGCAGTGTCTGGTAGAGAACAGGCGTCTATATCAAGTTCGCAATTTTTTCCCTGAAAACCTGCAAGACAAAGATAAAAAAAAAAACATGAAATTTTTATGTATGCAATACTTTGCAAGCAAAAATAGATCTGAAATCAGTACCACTAACCCATCTTTAATTCATGTTGATGCACCAGACCTACTCTTCTATATATTTAATAAACATGGCCAAAACTGGTGCAACTGAGGAGGATTGGCCCCATTTTAAAGCATCTCCCTCCACTCAACCACAGTGCCCCACTGAATTTGTAACTTGCCTTCAATTTATCTTGCAATTAAATATTGAAACACTAGTGTTGAGCCTTTTATTTCTTGTTCACCTTCATCCTTTTTTCTTATTAGTCTTATATGTATTTAAAATAAAACTAGATTTATTTATTTTTTATTCTTGCGTAAAAATAACTACACAAAAGATGGTACATAACAATAAGTCCTGGGCTCAGGTTGTCTTGCTGCATGACCTACTTTTTCTTAAGTTTCCCTTTACAAACAGATGTCCTGACATTTTCCTTCAGAATTTGGTGTTTTCATTCATAATTCATTGTCCTATTAATTATGGAAACCCACCCTGGCCCAAATGCAACAAAAATAATCTTAAACCATGGCATTATTGCCACCATGTTACAAAGACAAGTGAAGTTTTCAATGCCCTATTTGGAGCATTTTGAAGCTTCTCTTTTTAAAAATATTCTTTGATTGTACCTCAAGAACCTTTATTGTGACTAATACTTTGATAATTCTTCAGTTTTTAATCGGAAAGTTGTTTTATTTCAGTATTTCAGTAGTGAAAGTAATAGATTAATGTATTACAAGCTGCTGTGCCTGTTAATTTTGATGATTATGGCTTAAAGTAAATGAAAACCCAAGTCAACTCTTAGAGAAGTACAAGATTATAAAGGAGAAATAGAAAAAGAGTTTTAAATCAAAACTATTATTACACACGACTTTGTTCTTCTACATAGCGCAAGGCAATTTGCAGAGATCAAGGAATGTTTAGGCTTTTATATCCAACTGAGATTGTGGAACCAAAGGGGATAGTTTAAATAAAGGTAAAGTTGTGTCCCATGCAGAACATGTTATCATAATCAGATTCTGCTGATTAATGTATTTCTTGGAGGATCTTATGATGTTGCCTCATCTCCACTCCATATCCTATTAGTTTCCATTACTCTTTACTGTTCATGGGTGTTCCAGGTTTTTTACTAATTCCTAAAATAGAGAGTCTATCTCACCATCCCACTCTATTTCAGGATTTTTCTGTTAATGTATATCTCATCTTGTGATTAACACATGGAGATCATGAAAGTAAGGATGATGAATAATCTGAAAGTGGCTGATGCTCTTCAAAGAGATTAGTTAAGATTCACACAATCTTGGCCGCTGCTAGAATCAGCTAATCAATAGCCACCACACAAAACCATATCATACATATTTCTGCATTAAAATCTCTGTTGATTTTATATAACATTCAAATGTCCTGAGAAACTTAACTTGGACGTTATTTTGCTCTGAGCCATGATCATTAAATCATCAGAAA